AAACGATCGATCAATCAATCAACAATCAGTAGATCAAGCAAGTTGGCTACTTGATTGGGCGAATCCTCTGATGGAGAGGTCCGCTCCGATACCAGACTATAGAATAACGTAATGGTGCAGACCAGAACAAGAACTGACCTCTCTCACATAGTACAAGATAGTGCAGCGGAAGGCTAATATACCAATGATCCGATCAATCAATGTCGCAATGTGCAGACCAAACATACATCATCATCATCGTATGGTGTGAAGGGACCTGGTGCTCACACAAGAAGAATGCGCCAGTCCCAAACATACATAGACGAGGAGGAGTGGGGTTTACTTAGACGAAGAAGAGGGGAAGATGGAATGTCATCAACACCAAGTCTTCGGTACAGGTCCCACATAATCCCTCGTTCAATGTCCGAATCCCAATGTCGAGTCTGAACTCAAATTTCGTCAAGTCCCAAAGTCACCAATCTCCCTCTCTCTCGCAGTCTGCTGATAGTCAGAAGTCAGGTGGCGAGAGGGTGAGAAAGAGATGGTGGACTGAGAGGAAGAAGAAGAACTCTCTCTTTCTCTGTGTATGCTAGGACTAACCTGTGAAGGTGGCACCTTGTTGCAGGTACATCGAAGACGAAGCTGGAGCTATGGCGCCATAGGTAAGTCTCCGTGGCCTCCGCGACATCTCAACGCTACTCTAGCTCCTAACAGCACCCAGCGCTGAAGACTACTCTAGCGCTAGCTCCTACTACTGCAGCGCTCCTCCAGAGTGCTGCTGCTGAATCCTGAAGACTGCCTCCTGCCTCCTGCCCGTGAAGTGCCTGGGAAGTCCCTATGAACTACCTGCAGCCTGCAGGGCGGGCCAGTCTGATATAGTGCTGGCCCGTCCAGGAGGCTCTGCTCTTGCCAATGCCAAAACGTGCCAGACCCAGGTGTTGAAATTGAAACAAAGGTTGTCTTGAAAACTGGCCCGAAATGGCATGTGCTAAAACCCTGGTCTGGTGCCTAAGTTTCAGGGCAGGTCGATCTTATGAGGGCCTGAAAATGGCCCTCCGTTTCAGGCTGAAAAGACTCTGGGCCTGGAGGGCCTTTTTTAGGCTGAAACGACACAGGGCCTGTAGGCTCTTGTTTTCAGGCTTTCAGGCTGAAACAACACAGGGCCTGTAGGCCCTTGTTTTCAGGCTTTCAGGGTGAAAACGACATATGGCCTGTAGGCCCTTCTTTTCAGGCGTTTAGGCTGTAAACGACACATGGCCCGTAGGGCCCTTATTTTCTGTCTGGTCGGGCCTTGCAGGCCCGTGTGGCTGCGCAGTATGCCACAGTATCCATCTGCTTTCACGACCGAAACATTGTTGCTCTTGCCTTTTTTTTTTTAATTGTTGCTTTTCTTTTTCCACTGCCCTGATGACCGCGGGGCAATAACTCCCTCAGGGAGGGTGCACTCTCACACCTCCAGATTCTGTGTCTACCTGCTTCCACGACCATAGCTCGTCGTTTTTTTTGTTTTTTTTTTCCCATGCGAGGCCCAGACATCTCAGTTGTGGGCTGGACATCTCGACCGTGGCCCAGCCACAGGTGTGGCGTAGACATCCTCGGCCGTGGCCAAGCCACAGGCGTGGCCTAGACATCTTGGCCGTGACCCAGCCACGGGCATGGCCTAGACATGTCAACCATGGCCCAGCCGCAGGCGTGGCCTAGACGTCTCGGTCGTGGCCCAGCCACAGGCGTGGCCTAGATATCTCGGCTGTCGCCCAGCCACGGGCGTGGTCTAGACATCTGGGCCACGGCCCAGCCACGGACTAGACATCTCGGCCGCGGCCCAGCCGCGGGTGTGGACTAGACATCTCGCCCGTGGCCTGGCCACAAAATGAAAAAACAATTAAAAAAAAAAAAAAACCTGCCAAAGAAAAACAGTGAAAAAAAAAAA